AAAAATTGCCGCAGTTGTTATTGTTGGCATAATTTAGCAAGTGATTATATTTGAGATCATCGGATGGGGAACCGAATTCCGATGACTCACGTATGGGCGCTAATTGCAGTTGTGCAGCTGCAGCTAACATCTCACCTGTAGGTAAACCCGAAGGACTGGGTCGCTCACTACTAGCTACGTCCTCGAAAGCCTCCTCGTTAAGGGTTTGCAGTGCGCCACAAATCATTTGTTCTTCGAGCGTGACCTGTAAATTAAATAAAAAAAAAAAATAAGTGAAAATAAAGGACATCGCAGGGAGAAGGTGGTTGAAAGAATGTATTAACAACACAAACGAATATCAACTTTTTATTCTACATATGTATGTACATACTCATACAAATACAAACATAACCAACTGCGAAAAAATAAAATTTTATCCACCTGCATATGCATATGTATGAATGTACATATGTATGAGACCGCTTCTGAGAAAAGGGTACTAACATTTGGTGCATCACGGTTTCTTATAGATCAAGGTCTTAAAAATGCATGGCGATTAGCCCCGAGTGAAAAAAAAATTGTTGGCCAATAACACCCTTTTCACAGACGCGATAACATATAGTATGTATGTATGTACCAGTGATGGAAAAGTAGGTACAATTGCCCTTTTCTCACAGCCCTTTTGTAATTTGAAATCACGTTCTGCACAAATACCCAATATGCGGTACATTTACAAGGATCTCAAATGAATTTTCCAGGATTTTTTTCTGCTATGCAAAGTTCGGTCAGTTATACCGATCAACCGGAGATTGGCCAGGTTCTCTCGAAAACGCCGAAATACGTTTCTTCTTTATCGGAGATCGTTTACATTAATGCGTCATATGAGCACACACAAAACTGATAGGAGAACTGTAAAGATTGATATTTGATTTCTTTGAATATCTCGCAGGCGTCTGCTTTCCAATGAGCCTACATCAAGGCTTGTTGGAAAGAGTTATGTTTATATTGGCTCCTAAGTAAGAAGAGCCCTTTAAAATTTCGAAGTAAGGATGCCAATAGCCCTGTGCTCTCCCAATAACCAAGGACTCTTTGTTTATTGTTAGACGGAAGACTTTTTTCGGTCTCGCAGGGTTCTTTCGATTTGATTTTAAAATTTATTTTTCCATCCCTTATACATATGTACATATCGTCC